ATATATATATATATATATATATATATATATATATTTGTATCTATATATGCTTATTTGTTACTTCTGAGGTTTTGTTTACGTGTTGTAATATTCAAGATTAACTTTAATATTTTATTTTATTTAGCATGAGAAATGATAGTGCTAGATGTGTTCTCTCTGATGCAAGCATGCAACTGGAAAGAAACGAACGAGCATTTTTTATTTCTCGGTGGCTCTGGTGTTTTTATCTTTGTTAATACTTATGCTTCTACTGTGTTATCTTTATTAATTTCTATTGAATTAGTAGTGTTCATAACATTGGTGTTTTTAGAAGGTGATTTGTGCTTGAAGTGTTCTGTAAGCAATTAAAAAAGATCTTTCAATTTCAGGATTTACTGTATCTGCTTGTTTTCTCTGTTTACTGAAGAGCACTGTCTTAGTCATAGTGTATTTTCTGTATTAGCAGGTGGTAAATATCTGGTATTTTCATTATTACAGCAACGGATGTAAGACCTGAAAGATGCTGGATAGTTTGTTGAAGCAAACGCCAAAAGAAAAGAAATAGTTTTTGGGTTCCATACTTGCTGTTTCAAAACATGGTTAAAACTGGCTGTTACAGTCTTTGGGACATGAAATATATATTAGTGTACAGAAGTGAGTGTGGCTTCTGGTTAAATTTTTTTAATTTATCTACGGTTACTGATGTATGTTTCAGACAGCTTCTATTTATTGCAAAGTTGTGGAATGAGAGTTGGCCGTATTTGACAATTTTAGACATTGAAATTATTGTTTGAAAACTTCTTTAGTTGGTTTAGAAAGGAGGGATTGATTCGGAGCTAAAAAATGGATAAAAATTAATAGAAGACCAGCACTCATCAAACTGAGTAATGCTTGACTGGAAGTGATGAGGAAGTTCAACGAAGCAAATTGTAAGGTTGAATGAAATAATAATTGATTTTAAGTGAAAAGCAGTCTTATTGGGAGGTTTAGGGTACTTTTTCGAACAGGTTCAGTTTTACGTTCTATCCGAATAAGGCGAAGAGTGAGGTGTTTGTTTTTCTTTCAAAATACTTAAATTTAGATCAGTCGGTACTATAGTATTTGTTTACACGTAAAACAACTCCAGTTTATGTCATCTGTTTCTTGTCCTGTTTCATCGTTCCAAATGGACTTCAGACTTATCTTGGCTTCTCAACTTTGTATTACCTTCGGTTTATTCTTTGCAGCTCTTAAAATAGTCGATGGTACGTTCGGGTGACTGTGGTAGAGTTTACATTTTCTCAGTCACTAATCCATCCCTAAATTATTTGTAGTAAACCGTTTAAGCGTCAAGCAATTTTTTTCCAATTAAAGGGATTCACTTTTAAGAAAAATGAACCTTTCTTGTCTAAAGTTTTCTAAAACATTGTAAAGATTGTTTTTGTTTTAGGGAGTCAGAAATAAAGTCAACAAGCTTAGCTGGTTGCTTTTTTAACTGGTCCTACCGCCTACTACAGTTTTTTGTTCTTTGAAAGTATATGAAGTTTTTTGGTTTTCTGTTGTCTGGTTAATTAAGTTTTAAGCAGCTCTAATAATCTTACCAGAGAACGCTGCTGCAGGAATGATTTTTTCTTTGTTAAGAGTTTGTAATTCACTTGTTGGGTTTTGATGGAGAAATTCTGACGCTTTTAGTCTTAATAGGTCTTTCTTACCCAAAAAGCCATATTTGGAAGCATCCTGAAAACCTTGATTCATCTTTCAGGCAAAAAATCGTTTTATTTTATTTCGTACGGTTCGTATTTAACTACACTCAATGCAAAATGGATCGTTACCGAATGTTAACCTTTTTCTTGTTGCTACTCTCTAAAAAAACGCTAAAAGATTAATTTACTTTTAGAAGACTAGTGTCGTTGTTTTTAATACCACTGTATAAAACTCAAAACCAGTCATTTTTTGTTTTTGTAGAAGGGACTGTGAGAAATTTGATAATCAAAACAAGGCTTATTAGTTTTAAAATTCTTTTAAAACTTTTTTTCCAAGTACTAGTGCACTTGCACATTAGTAGGAAGAAAACAATTGAGACCTCGTGCAAACTTAGGGTTGGCTGATAAAGCACTTAGGGAACAATACGAAATGTGGGGTAAAAGTGAAAAGTACTTTTGAAAATAGCGGACTCATACTCTAAACGGTCGTGCAACAGCAAAGTTTAAGAAGTTATGCGAGTAAATTTGAGTAGCGGTTAATTACTCGACAATTGTCAGGTGGTTATTTCTCAATTTTCCACCCATTTAGAGACGGCTGAATTACAGCTGTGAACCAGACATACTTCTTTGGCAGATGTAGTTTGTTTCCTAGAACTCCAGCGTAAATGTACAATGGATTTTAAAATATTTCTATTTCTATGTCTGTTAGAAAGATCAGTTGACGAATTATTATCTCGGATAAAAATAAAGGAACAGAAGTCACGAACGTAGTAAAAACGATATTTTTAACTGAAATTCGATTTTTTTGTCGGAATTTTCGAAAGGAGTCTTGAAATGCACACTTTGACGGCCCGATTAGCTGAGCAAAATGTGATTTTTCTTTTCGGAACTTACGAACTGTTAACTTTTTTTTTTGTAATTATGAAAAAACTGTTTCGTAGATACGGTTTCTGGAGTTGGCATGTAAATACTTAAATATTATAGTGTAGCGTCAGTACTAGGCTGGTTATTTTTAAAGTAGCTGTTTGGGTGCCACTGTACTGTAGGATCGTCGCACAATTCAAAGATGCTGGTACATTTAACACTTATTTAGTCGTCCCGCACTTCAATATATATAATGTTTATGTTCAACTTTTAAGTACTCAATATGTGCACGTATTATTTACTCTAACTGACAGCCTAATATAGTAAATTAGGAAGTTATATGAAATTAACCATATCCTCTAAAAAAAACTGGTATTTTTCCCAACAATTGCTTTCAATATTGTTTTACTGCTCTTTTACCACCTTTCGTAGTGCGAAAGAAGCATGAAACGATAGGGTATAACTGTAAGAAGCTTGAAATACTAAATGTTTAACGTGTTTAGAAAACGGCTTTTCCAAGTCGGTATAGTGGAATAATTAATTATGATACTTTCTTTCCCTCTTATTTGTTCTTTTCTTATTGCTCAGGAAGAGAAGTTTTTTATCTTTACCTCTACGCCTGAAATTCACACGTTGTTTTTCATCTTTCACACTTTTTTGGTAGTAATATTCTTTATTGAAGCAAAATATGAAGCTGTTGAAAAAACAACAACATTTCTAAACTAATGTAATAGTTTATTGGTTTCAAAAAAAAGTAATTTTTTAATTTTATTTTGCATTTCTTATCAACCATCAGGGAATTGGAGATTACTAAAATGTCAAGCAAACTGTTTGTTAGATAACCCTGACATTGAATCTTCTGAAAGTGACAACTGACAGATGTTCAAAAATGCGCAGAATTTTTTCACTTGTTCAAAATGAAAATTTGGTTTGTGCAAAAAGTTTAAAAAGTTTTATGATGCAGAATATATTTTTATTTTTAAAAATGGTATCTGCTTAGTATCCGTGTCACTCGTATACGTATTTTTCACAGTTTTATGTTACATGTTGTACACGGAATTATGGTAATATACATTATAATCCTATCTTGGTTTACTTGACTGAGTGCGGCTCGAAATGCGGGAATGTGATTGTTTTATAATATTTTTTGGAACCAGAAAGTTACGCCTAAAATAATTTGCTTTCTGTAAAAATTTGGTTCTTTTCTATGGTCTCTCATAAAGTTTACTTTTTTATATCTTTACAGTAAGTAAACGGTATCTAAAATTGTTTTGAACTCTAGATTAGCAAAACATTTATCTTATGTAAGGGTCACAAAATTACAAAAGTTGAAAGAGCTGTTGGTTTTACAAAGATTTCTCAGTACCTGGGCTTTGAGCTTCTAAAAAAAGAGCTTTTGAATGGCGAAGGCGGTACTAAAAATCAAATTGATGGACAGGATGCGAGGAAAAGAGATAGGTGGAATGATTCAGATAAAAGAATCAGTAACAAAAAAAAAGTGGGCAGAACATTTTTTTAGGAATGACGGGCAACGGGTGATCAATAATAATTTTTGGATAATATTTGAAAATTTGAAAACGACAGTGGAGCAGTTCTTGCATTCTGCGAAAAGAAATGGTGGGAAAGTGGGGGTGTTGCAGGTAGACACGGTAAAGCCGATATAGAACAGCAAGGAGGGTGTGGTGTGGTCGCCGCAGTTTTTTTTTAAGAAGCTAATATCTCAAAAATCAGTGCAATTGAAAGGTGTGTATGTTAGGTTGTTATCCTCCCCGGTAGTTGGACTTCTGAGGCTTTAGTGATGGATAAGGAGAGGCAGGATACGAAGAAATGATCAATTAAACCGTGAGAAATTTGAAGTCATCTGGCTTAGTTATACGATGTAGTTGGTGGGCGACGGATGCAATACCGTATTATTTGG